TCCTCCGTCCATCGATCACGACAATTCTATTTTCGAAGCGCTTCTTTCGGACGCGACGTAACGTCTCGGCCCGGCGACATAATCGAGCCCTCGTACAACGCAGCGAAATGATTACTTTCTAATAAGATTTCCGCCCCACCGGCGTCCCACCCTTCCCTGCCTCGCTCATGCTGTCTCTCTCTCTCTCTCTCTCTCTCTTCTTCCTTCTCACTCTCTGACATCGAAGCAAACTCAAACGAGAGTGCGGCATTTTTCCGAGGCAAGTTGGCGGCTTGATTTAATTATCAACTGTTGATTAATGAACCGTGCAGCTCCCGTCAAGTTTCGCTCGCGGAACGAGTATAAGAAGATCGATCGCTAAACGCGCTGCGCTCGCCTTGACTCGCGCCATCGAGCGACTCTCGTCAGACCAGTTAACACACTCGCGCGCTATAAGGCCACGGGCCGTTTATAGCAAGAGCGCGGGTCTAATGGCGCGACACAGTTGCAACGCTAAAGAATAATTGAATAAGCCGCCGCGTACAAAGAAACGTAACGAAAGTGCCGTCCCCCGTGGTTGGCTACGACACATTGTCGCGCCGACGCGTGCGATAAATATTTCACTTTTATCGCGCGTTACCGCTGCCGCTCGAATTTAGAGCGAAAGCTCGTATATCGAGCCGCAAGCACAAAGGGGCACGCCTCATCAACGGAGGAGGATCCCCGCGGCGCGGCGCGGCGCGGCGCGGCGCGTCAATCGCCGCCGCGATCTTTCGCGATGCTCGCGCGCCGAGTGCTTCGTCATCGAGATTCCGAGACACTTCGGAAACTTCGTATATAGCGTTCATACAGCTGGAATTACATCGCAGCCTTAATAGGATCGAATTACTTTGAGCACGACGGCGACGCTCTCGGCGAACAAACTCGTCGTCTGAACGACGACGACGACGATGACGACGACGTCTCAACGATTGCTCGCGGGGATACGTGCGTGTAGTCGTGCGCCACTCCGTCGTGGTAGTCGGCGATGGCGATGGCCGCGGGATAAACTTAGGCATGTTTGTCGAGCAATCAAATATATGAGTGGAAAGTCTAGCGGGCGCTATCGATCGGTTCTCGAAGCCTCCGTGATGGTGGCGCACGAGGGGCGGCCGGAATCGCGGAGGAAGAAGGATTCGGGGTGAAATGGACGAACGGACGGACGGGTGGGTGAGAGGGAGGCCGGGGGGGGAGTCCACGAAACTGCTCGCGTCCATCGTGGGCGAAGGGCCGATCCGACGAGCGGCCTGTCCACTGTTTGTTGTTGGACGTTATTCGTACGGGGGAGAGACAGAAGGAGGGCAGCAAACATAGTTTTCGAGCCGACGGAAAGGAGCCGTCGGAATAGTCGGATAGTTGTGTGTAGCTATAGTCGTGTATATAGCGCGTCGCTCGGTACACAGCGTGTGGATAAGTGTGTCCGGGGGTGCAATTACTCGGATACGCTCCCCGCGGGTTTTTGTTTTTTTTTGCCTCCCCCGTAAATGCGGATAACCGGCGAATTGTCCGCTTGGTGGTCCGCATCTGCGTGAAAATTGCAACATCGAGCATCTACGAGACTCCTCCTCAGACTCGCATTGACTTCTTTCGCGAGATTTATTTCATCCCTTCCGGAGAAGCGGCGATACGCGTATCGGAGATGGTATTTGATTTGACAATCGGAGCTTCGAATAATTCGATTTTGGAGCCCCGAATCCTCCAACGCCGTTTGAAGACTCTACACCCATGTTCTCGACGGGACCGTAGCTGAAGAGTACAACGGAATGCTGCGCAATGAGTATCGTTGAGACATCCGAATGTTTCTATTTCCAAATTTTGTTCCTTGGATATAATGTCTCGGAGCTTTGAAGCGCTTCGCAGAGAAAAACGAAGCCTCGGGTGTAATTTACACCAACCCAACACGTGCGATATCATTGGAAAAGGTACTTTTAGCTAATATGTTGTATCAGATGTTTCAATATATCGCATTCTTCCTGTAGTATACACGTGACATATATGGTGGTAGTATATGTGTATGTATGGACTAACACACATGTGTGTACGCGCACACGAGGCCACGAGCTAGGCGTATCCTCGAACTTTCGTGAAATTCGAGTCCTTTATTTCCGCGCGAGTTTGCGAGTCCCGTCGATGCGAGAAGCGCCGAAGAAAAATCTCAAGTGCGCATCGTCTTCGAGAGATCCCCAGGAGGGGAGAGGCGGAGAGGAACGCTTTGGAAGCTCGGGCGAATTCTTACGTCCGCCGTATACGACTCTGCAGGATCTACAGGATCTCGGAGAGAAGAGAGAGAGAGAGAGAGAGAGAGAGGGAGAGAGGGAGAGAGGGAGAGAGGGAGTGTCGCCCGTACGTCCGCACCCTCGATATCGGTCTTGCAGAAATTTCAGTCGTCGCTGTGAATTTTTTTCCGCCAGAGACGCAAGATGGCCGCGAACGTTGGATTCCCCGGTTAACAACAAGAGGGGGAGAATACCGTCGAGTTCGCCGAATCGCAATAAACTCGTCGCTAGATCCGACGTACGTCGAGCTAATTTATCACGTCGTACGTCTGTAAACGACTGTCTGAATGACGCGGGCCCGTGCGAGCGTTCAGCCTGGTGTGCATTAACGGCGGTCTCAATCCTGGTTAAATATTCGAGTTTTCGAGATTCAAAGGCGTGATTAATGTAGCGGTATGAGGTTGACATGGCGACATTATCATCGGTACAATGGACGCCAGGTGTTTCAGACAGGAAGGGCTAGAGAGGCAAGGAGTATAATGCCGTCAAGCAACGCCACTTAATGAGCTGCCGGGAACAAAGCGGCAGAAGAACTGCTTTGTCATTTCTTTTTTCGTGTGCTCCAATTACTTAGTGTTTTAGAACAGTTGTACGTGATTATCTTCCCGTCCCTCCCTCCCCAGCCTAACCCAGCACCCGTCGTCCGCGACACGTACGACTCGCGCGATTGTTTCCCTTCGCAAAAATTGATCCGGATGAGTCGCGCTGCTTTACACGGTAATCGTTTTAAGCCGAGCCTCATTAGCGCTCGGTGGAGCAACAAAATTAACGCCTCACCCGCGGGACTGATAACGCCGCGCTATCGCGGCGTTTCAATCGCCGGCAAAAGCCGGACGTGTAACGGCCGCGATGAAATCGTCGCCGAGCCTGCTCGGCAATCGTGTCGCGAAATTTTCGTACAGCACCGCGCGAGAGTTTGAAAGCTGATATGCCGGCCGACGAGGCCTTAAATTGCCCGGCCGTTCTGATCGTCTCGCGTCATGTCCAATGGGCGAGGGTCGAGGGGCGGATTTCTAGACGGGATGTCGAAGACGAGGGCTGCCGAGATCAGAGGAAGGTCCAGGGCTTTGGGAAAGGGACGGCGGCTGCTACGTTATCGTGTCATACTCCAGCAGGTACGGGGAGCGGCAGAGGGCGGGCCGGGCGCCCTCTTTTCGCCCTAATTCCCTTCAATCCTGATCCGTCCCATCTCCCAGAAGCATATCGCAATCGAGTTTCGTTTATTTTTCAAGAGGCGCCCGCTCGACAGAAATTGGCGAGTATATTGGGCGATATTCGATCGACTCGAAAAAGTTTAATCCCAATTTTTAAAGCGCCGCCGACGTTACGCAATCCCCAGCGCAGTTACAGCTAGGCAGTCGAACGTGTGCTGATTCGTGCCGCGACTTTAACGCGATTAGCTTAGATTTGATTACGAGCAGCCGTCGCGATTGATATTTCACGAGGCCGAAAACTCGAGGCGTTGACCAAATCAAATTTGCTCCCCTACACTCGACCACGCTCTCCCGGCAAGAGAAAAAAAAAAGAGAGAGAGAAGAGAAAAGAGAAGAGAGGCTAAAACGAGATCGCCGCGTCGAGCCGAGCTGGCATAAAATGTCGCTCGACTGCCGCCTTATGACGACCTCGATCCACAGGCGAGAAACTCCGGCGCGAGACTTTTCTTCCCTCGGTGGTAACATCGGGAAGTTTATTTTCGAACAAATCCGTTTCAATAGATCGGATGCGACGATCCGCCGGATTATCCCGCTTATACGTCGCGCGTCCCTCGGAGATGGCGGCGATTGTTGGGGTATCGTTCCCTCGCGACGCGATACAAATAGTTATTGCTCGAAACCGCGGCGGCGGGGGCGGCGCGGCCTCGTCATCATCCTCGCTGTCCTCGTCCTCGTCGTCGTCGTCGTCGTCGTCGTCGTCGTCGTCGTCGTCGTCGTCGTCGTCTCGGATTACGAAGCGCTTGTCCGCGCGCGGTAAACATCTTTTATTAAAGTGCACGTTGCGCTCCGCTGGCGCGTCAATTTTTCAAAGAGCCCCCGAGCTCTTTGTCTTCGCGTCGTCTCTCTACCTAACTACAGCGATGAGCGCACGTGGCAGGCGGTAGAAGCGATTAATCGTTCCATCATCGTCGCGGACGGCCTCGCACTCTCTCTCTCTCTCTCTCTCTCTCTCTCTCTCTCTCTGCGACAATGGCGGAAACGGAACCCCTTTCTCGTCGCGCGGATCCCGCGCCAAGATAAAACGGATAAAAACTATTTTTACTTCCTTCCGGGCTGCGCCGAGTGCGTCGCAGAATTTTTGCCGCCGGCGAAAGGAACACCCCCACCCTGCTTCTCCGTGCATCCTTCGCCTCCACCCCTTTTCGCTCGCGCGATGCCTCTCCCGGCGAATGAATAGGCGAACGTCGCCTGCTCCGTTTAACCCTTCGCCCTTCGCCGTCGCGATGGCTTGTACTTTTGCGGAGAGACCGCAGTTGTCGGCGCGTATTCGCACACAAAGTCAGAGCCTCGCCGATGACGCGAGTGTACGCGCGTGTACACCTCGACAAAGTGCGGCTTTTAGCAGAAGCGAAAATGATGGGAGCGAGAAGTGCGTGCACGCTTCTCTCTCTGTCGTGCGCTGCGCGCACGAAAGGTGAGATTTCGCCGGTCGGCGATCGGCGGGATTTTCCGCTAACAATTAACGACGTGTCCCCTCTCTTGTCTGTTGCAGGCTGTGCATTCGTGAAACTTTCGTCGCACCAAGAAGCACTGGCGGCGATAAACTCTCTCCACGGTAGCCAAACTATGCCGGTGAGTAGCCCGCCGTGTAACTATTACGTCGACCGACGTCGGGGGTCTCCTCGGCGGCCGATCGAAGCCCATTATTTTTTATCTTCCGATCCACCTCTTCAGCCGATGACCGCCAGTCAACGTGTTCACGGACGCCGCATATTTACGCTCGGAAAATGTCACGTACGCGATATTAACGGAAAGGAGGGTAAATATTCATAGAAGCGTTACACCTGGCGGGGCTGATATGAATATCGAGGATAGGGATGCGCGCTACGCTCAGGCAGTGGATGGCCGTCTTCCGTTAAAGGGGGTGGCCGGTGGCGGCGGCGACGCCGGCGGTTGGAGATCGGCTCCGGGGTAGCCGTAGCAATGGCTGTCGTGCTTGCAAACATCCCAGTAATGACTGGCCAAACAGAAATCTGCATAACACTTGGAGAAGCGCAGCTCTCTCTCTCTCTCTCTCTCTCTCTGTGTCTCTGTCTCTCTCTCTCTCTCTGTGTCTCTGTCTCTATCTCTCTGTCTCTCTGTCTCTCTAACCTTCTCCTACGCAGCCGGAGAGAGAGAGAGAGAGAGAGAGAGAGAGAGAGAGAGAGAGAGAGAGAGAGAGAGAGAGAGAGAGCGTCCCTCGGTCTCCGTCAAGCCGCCGAACTTTCTCGGCTTAGGGTCCGACCAGGAATTCCCAGTTGTAATTGAATTGTCAGTGAGTTCCGTCCGGGATTCCACCTGCTGATTGGCGAAACTTTGCAAAGCCGCTTGCCGGACCTCTCCGATCGTCCCTGTCGGCGTTATTGCCTATCGACCGCCGCTCGCTGACATGCATTGACGCGCCTAAGAGGAGAGGACTTCGCGTCTGAGACAATTATTAGATCCCACAATGCGCAATCGAGATCGCGGATGAGGATTGTGATTAATTGCCGCTTGCGAGCTCGTTCTCTGACGAACGCCGCACGAGATTGGGCAAATATGCTGTCGCAAAAGACATCGGGCCGATGGAAGTCTGAGGCGCGAATGAGTCGAGGAGAAATAGGGATTAGGGAATTAGCGAAGGGATAGACTCTCGAGTTTCTCATATCGGATCGATCCAATTTCGGAGTCGTCGTCACTCTGCGGGGAGAATATTACATACCGATGAAATATGAAAGCAAAGCACTCGCGAGGAAAGCTTCTGGTAATCTACAGAGGAGGGAATTTTTCCGAAGGATATTAACATCCGGACGCCGAGAAAGCACGATGCTAGCTCATACCCGGCCAGGACGACGCTTGTATATTATCCGAAACACGACAGCTAGTATGGGAAACTAGTTTACGTTACGATATATAGATTTCCGTACCTACTAAAAACTAAAAGTTTTCATCGCGGAATTTCGTACTGCAAGGTCGGAAGGACACCCGAATAAACCGTCGGTTGACTGTGAGCGCAATCAACAAATCTCGATCTCGGCGCGAACATATCCCAGTTACGCGGCGATACAGCGTGCGCGCCATGTTGCTTCGACGACAAATTTGCCCTCTATGTGTTTCCTCTCCGAGGAAAGACCGTGACCCGTTTGTCGTCTCTCCACGAACGCTCTCCCGTGGTCGACGCGAATATGAGGCACGAGGCTGCGCGCTTTTTTACGTAATCAGAGCCACGCGCGCGCGGCAGAGGAGCAACAATATCCGTCATGTTCCACGTCCCCCGCGTGTCACGCGAGACGATTAGAAAGGGAGGCAGGCTAGGCTGGCGCTTTCGGCTATCCGACGGCGGATTCGCGGTTCACGTCGCGCGTTAAACACGCGTACGTGCGCGGCCGTCGTGCGCCGGGACGGGGTCGCAGGGGGTGTGGAGAAGGGCTGGTTACGTGAATATTACTCGTTACAACGCCCTAATTTAATAGCCGAATACGGACGGAAGACGGAGCAGGGACCCGACTTCGGGACCGTGACTATTTGCCCACGAAAGAGGTACTGACAGCGCGAGCGCGCGCGAGCCGTAATATGCAGATTGCTTAATTATCGCGGCGAATTATGCAAATCTCGACGCCGATGTTACGAGATTTCACGGCACGGCCGAGGCCGAGGGAGGCCGATCGAGAGGAAGCGAGAGGACGAGGGAGAAATAGAGAGAGAGAGAGAGAGAGAGAGAGAGAGAGAGAGGGGGGGAGAGAGATAGGCGAGTGTCGGGGTTAACGCTTTCGCCGAAATACCGACCTTCGACCCTGAACTGTTCGACCCAGAAGAGATACGAAAGGCACGTGGGTGGTTGCGTTCTACGCGGACGGCTTAATTATTGCGGCGAATTATGCAGATTTCGACGTTATGAAATTTGGCGCGAGGCGGCACACGCAGGAGGACGAGGAGAAATAGGAGGAGGAGGAGGAGGAGGGTGGTAGCGGTGGTGGTGGTGATGGTGATGGAGAAACGCTCTTCGTTCGTCGAGCAATTTAGCGTCGGCGAATCGGGCGAGAGTGCTTCGGCGCGTAGATTATAATAAGCGTATTTCTTCTCTCCGTCGGCGTCAGCGGCGCGACGGGGCGAGACGCGAGAGGCTCGATTGATCGTTTGTTCAGCGTTATATTGGACGATGTCTTTTTGAAGGAGCTAATAGCTTCCCGGCTATCGGCGTTATTTGAATATAGCGGGCAATATCGCGCGTGCGGAAAAACTGCGGGAGGAACCGTCGCGCTACGCTCTGTCTGTCTCTCCTTCCGGAGAGCCAATCGATAAATCTTTCGCGGGAAACAATCGCTATCACGGAGGATGCGATGTTATGGAGCCCCAAGAGTAATTCGGCTTGACTATGTTCGTTCCAGTTTCCTCTGACCTGGCGCAAGATCAACCCCCTGCCAATTTTCCCCTCCTATCTATTCCCCTCTTTCCCATCTTTTCCCCTCATACTCGGCGAACCGTCGATCTATATAGGCACATATGTACGCGCATAAAAATGTCGGATCTATGCATGTACGAGGCCACGTACACACAACACACACACACATACACACACGAACACACGTATATACACACACACACACACACACACACGTCATCTCGCGTGTATGCCCTCTGCTTTCAGCCACTCGAACACGTCGACACTCTCGGTCACGAAACTGCATTACGAACGCAACATCTCGGCTCATACCTACGAAATGAGATATTGATTTGCAATCTGATACTGTAATACGCGACGACGCGCTGTCGGCATGCAGACGATGTACCGCGCTGGCTCGTGGCGGAAGCGTGAAATCGTAACACCTTATGAAATCTGCACGATGCGGGCGCGCCACGTTGATATTATTTTGATACCGACAAATCTGCGCGCGTTCTTGCGCGCGCGCCTCTCATTGAATTATTCTTCATACGCGACGAGTAACAAGAAGAAGTTCTCGGGACTCATCCGTTGAACGCGATAAATCCAGACGCGACGCACACACCGCGGCATCGAATAAACCGCGAAACTGTGAACGTCCGCTAGACGCGTATAACGTCGCGTTTTACGTTTAGGTGATATCTCGCAAATCGTATATCTCTCGTATACATCAACATATTTCACAAGAAAATTATCGCGTTATTAAACATTACGAATATACGATGTTTACTTGCGCGATGATTTGTTTGCGTGTCGAGCAAATGAGGTTACCTCACGGTGGATCGCAGTATCGCAGTATAAATATGCGGTTTATACACGCGCGCGCGCGGTGATAAATCGCACGGCTTTCCCGTGGAAAATTCGGTATCTTTAACGGATACATCGCACATACGGCCGCGAGATTAATATTGCAGTACTTTTGCTGACAATGCAAAAACATTACCATAAAACTGCCCTTCCGCGGAGCACTTTTACTTCGTTTTCACGAGCGGGGTAATGCGATTTATGCTCCTCGGATCGGCGCATTTACGCGTCATGCGCGTACGCGCGCGTCGGCAGGCAATATTTCTTCGGCCGCTCGATATTCCCGTCGATTTTACAATCTGTCGTTTGGAATATTACGCGCGGAAGCTTTTTAATTTCTAACAATGCGGAGACGCCTGTGCTCGCTCCCCCGGCCGCGCGCCGCTCGTGCAAACATTTTTTCCCGATTTCACGGCCCGTATAATGCGATTTACACTCGCAGTGCCGACACTCCCACGCCGAGCGATATTTCTCCAGTGGCTCAATGTGCGTTGCCGGATTTCGCGCGATTCTCCCCACGTGACTTTCTTTCAAAACGGACTTTTCCCAAATTCCCCACGCTTTGCACCGCAAGGTGCCCCCCCCCCGCTGGCCCCGGCCACGCTCGGAGGACGCGTAAGCGGCCTTGTCTCGCAGCAGCGACCGCACTTTTCCAAACTAATACTTTATGAAATATCACGGAAATTTCCAGCGACCTGATGAAAATGCCATTACGCACCGTGACTGCGTCATACGAAATGTTGAGATAATGCGGATTTGCCCTCTTATTCTCGCTCTCTCTCTCTCTCTCTCCTCCCCTTCCTCCCTTTCTCTCTCTCTCTCCTCCCCGGCGGGATTGAATCTTTTTACTCGCGACGATAATCTACCACGTTCCGGGCACACGTGTCACGCAATGTTACAACCACGCAGCGATATTACACCTCGAGCCCCCTCTCCAACTTTTTGTGCACTTTTTTGTTTGATCGCATCGATCCACGGGCTGTTTACACGTCTCGAATCAGCGGCGCGTTCGTGCATCACGCAACGGCCAATATTTCTCCAGGAGCTCAATATTTCCGCGCACATCGCGGTGTCCGCCTCACCCCCATACTCGTTTTCTCCCTCTCTCCCCCTTCTCTCTCTCTATCCGTCTATCTTCGCCGCGGTGTCTCTCTTTCTCCGTCTCTCGTGGTATGTGTCAACGTGGTGGTATGCGACCGAGCCAGCCTCACGTAGTTATGTCCTCCGAAGCGTGTGACATTTCTTGTCACGCCTCGCGAACCCTCCAGCGCGTCGCGCGCGCCTCGCACACCGAAATCTCCCCCTCGCGCACATATATCTTCCGGAAATGTCTCGTAATAAAAGCAAAAACCGCGCGGCAAGTGTTTCG